CCTCCCTGGACTGACCTATCTCCTCCCTACCTCCCCACCTACACTCATCTTTACTGGCTCCATCCCCGCCTCTTTGATCTGTCTGTCTCCTCTCCACCTATCTTCCCCTCTATCCATTTTCTATCTGCCTCCCCCTCTCTCCCTATTTATTTCAGAACCCCCTTCCCCTCCCCCATTTCTGAAGAAGGGTCTAGGCCTGAAACGTCAGCCTTCCTGCTCCTCTGATGCTGCTTGGCCTGCTGTGTTCATCCAGCTCTACACCTTGTTATCTCAGATTCTCCAGCATCTGCAGTTCCTGCTCTCTCTGAGGCAATTTTCAGTTCTCTGGATAAGCAAGTGATTTCCGACTTGGGTCAGTGCTTGGTCTTTGACTGTTTACAATCTATGTCAACGACTTAGATGAGAGAACTGATTCCAATTCTTCTGATGATATAAACTGGATGGGTAAACAGGCTATGAAAAGGATGCAAAGAAGCTGCAGAGGTATTTGCATAGGTTGAGTGAATAGAGAACATTGCAACTGGAATCAAAAGGTTGTGTAAGCAGAGGTTTTAAATATTTTTATCACAGAGGGAGACAAAATCTTGAGAAGCAAGGAGGTGGAAGGTTATCATGGGTAAGGCAGTTACATGGTCTAACTAGGTTAGCTATGAGCTTACTGAATGGTGGGGCAGGCTAGAGCAGCAAAGGAGCCTATTCCAGCTGTTAATTCATATATTTATATACGTGTTCATATCAATATAATCTGAAGAAATGCAAAATAATCCATTTGTGTACGAAATATGGAAAAGTATTATGATTTTTAAAGATTGAGAGCCTGGAAAACATTAATTTTTCATAGAGTCTGAGTTATCCTTGTAGACAAATTACAGAAAGTTAACATGCAGTTACACAAAGTACTATCTCCATCTCCAGTTATGGGGAAAATCCAGGAAAGTGGACAAAAGGAATATCAGATCAACCACGATCCTATTAATTGAGGGAGCAGGCTTGAGGGGCTGAACAGCTGACTCCTATTTCTTATTGTCTTATGTTCCTGGGTTGATAAGAGTTTGTCCTATACCGTCCCATTTTCTGTGCTTCGATCTTCAACAGTCTCATTTTCAGGAGTGTGACCATGTAATCCTTGTCATTTCTTGCCACCCCATAGCTTCCACATCAGAAAATACATTGCCGTTTCTGTAAATTCCAATATGTTCACTCTAACATATAAATTTGCCTTCATTCCATTTCTGAAAAGATTGATCCCTTTCAGATTCCCTGGTTAATGCATTCGCAATTCCACTTCTTATCTTTCTCTAGCACTTAACATGCAGTATAGAACAGGTCTGCTTGTGTTTCCAGGGTTGGAGGAGGGGAGACAGTTGGTGCTGGGACTAGAGCATTTTCTTCCCCTCATTCCTTTCATCAGAACATGCTGCTGTCAGGATGCTGAACATCTTTATCTATTTCACTGTGAAAGCTCACCAGCTGAAAAGGAGGCTTCAAATCCCAGTTAAAAATACCGACGTAAAACATCAAAAGACCAGTTGTAAACAGAGTGCAGGACTATTTGAACATGTTCCTGAGGAGCAACTAGAAGGTTTGCTTCAATGCAAGGTGTGCTGTAAGAAGCTGAGGATAAACTGCCAACATATTGCTGGGGATTTATACGACAAAGACCCTGGAGACTACATGCTATACCAGCAACTAAAAACAACACAGGGTGACGATTTTACATTTGTGTCTGGTACATGCTTTCCTAAGAACCAACCAATTCAGCAAATCTCTCAACAGAAATTTGCTCTGCACAAAAAAAATCTCTCGTTAAATAAGAATTTAGAGCCAATTTTATGCAGTTCTTTAAATGGCATTTCAACAAAGTTTAGCTTTCATAACCTCTGAACAGCAACAATACTTTGAATAAAGTCACCAAAATTTATTAACAATTAAAATTTGCAGTCTTAAAGGTGTATATTTCCTCTTTAGCAACAGATATCATATAATACCATTTATTTTATAAAACAATCTCATCATCAGACGTATTGTAAGCTTACCACGGAAATATGCCCATACTATGCTGAGAATAGCAAGGAGTGCACAGCACTCTGTCAACATTAAAAGAGATGCAAAATGTGAGTGCTTCTACCTGGAGCTGAAAATTAACAAGCATATTTCTACTTCAAATGAACTTCAGTTTATATCAGATCTAGTCAAATTTATCATGCATTGTACAATCATTAAAAAATTGGCAGTCAGCTTGCATGGTGCAACTCCATGAGAAACCTACTCATAAAATTGTTTGATAAATATTGTGAAATGCTATGAAAGGAAAACAATGCACAACATAATTCAGAATGTACTGGTCTGGATTTTGCAGTTGCAATGACTATTTAACTATCAGCATTTGTTGTCATTACAGCTGTGAAACTGACAGCAAATTCTGATCACAGATCCCAGAGGTGGTACAGAGCAGAAGGGGGTAATTTGACCCATCGTGTCAGCATTGACTCGCTGAGCAGTTTAACTTAGTGACAATCTCCTGCCATTTTTGCATATTGTATCTACTAGGTGCTTACTCCACTGATGTGCCAATGCCCCTTTTAACTTCTACACTGCCCTCTTCGTGGTTTAGAATGCTCCCCAGGTTTGTGTCTTCTGCAAACCTTGAAACTATCGCACCAAGATCAGGATATTAATATATATTAGGACGAGCAAGGATTCCAATTCCAACCTCTGGGGAGCTTCACTTCTCTTAAAAGTTTCTTGCAGCCTGAAAAATACTCATTAAACATGTTTCTTATTACTCAGCTAATTCTGTATCCAGATTGCTGCAGTCCCTTTTATTTCATGACCTAGAACTTTCCTCACAAGTTTCTTGGGTGACACTGTATCAAATGCCTTTTGAACTCTATGTCCACCACGTCAACATCCTTCTCCTCATCACACTGCTAAATTTTTAAATCAGAAAGTGGATCAGCAGCCAGGTCACCTAGGAAGTGAAATGTAACACTGTATTCTGTACTCTGTTCTGCTACTTTGATGTACCTTTGATGTATCTTGATGTGCCTGTATAGCACGCTAAACAACTTTTCACAGTATCTTGGTACATGTGACAACAATAAATCAAACTCAATTCAGGAAAATAACTGTTGGCTGAGTGTTCACCACACGGTGCAAGACTGTGGCCCTTATTCAACTTGACATTGGGGTCCTGACTCAAAACCCTAGCCAATGTTGTGGTGTGGAGTTCAGGTTTGCAGTTGCAAAGCCTCAGGATTGCAGTTAAATTGCTTTTATTCAATGTCAGTTCAATATTAAATTGCCTTAGATCAGGACAACAAGGATGGCTGGGTTTTTTGAAAATCCAGTACCAACTTTAAGGTAATGTATTCAGCAAATTAATTCTTTTAAAACTTGCCTGTACCTGGAACCACAATCCCATAACATTCCTATTTTCTTCTTATACTGTTAGGCCTGCAGGAAAGAACTGCAGATTCTATTTCAATTTTTATGAAAATGTAAGAGCCAACACTATTCACATTTAGGATCTTTAATAGCTACTAAACATTTTCTTTTATTCCATGTGACAGGTTGAGTTTGAACTGAAGTTTTAGGCATGGCAGGGCGGAGATTTGTGGTCAGGAATGCTTTTCACATTAATACCGTAGAAGCACACAACTTATCTTACCTGAAGGAATATAGCCATTGCTCCTCTAATACCATTTCTTCTTGATGCCAAGTCAATATTATCAGTGCCAGGACTTGAAAGATAAATCTGCATCTGTTTTCAACAAGTATAAAAAAGCAAAATAATAGTATAAAGATTCTGTTACGATTTGTTTTCCATACTTTTCAATCAATATGTAAATCTGAACTAGAATAGTTAAAATCAACATGAAGCAATTAAACCATGTAACCCTTCATTTAGGCTTTAACTAATCAGTGAAAATTGCATTAGCCAACTCACACATAATCAGCAACAACGTCCTAGCACAACATCCAAAGTCCCAGCAGAATAGCTCGTATATGTGAACGAAGAACACTGTATAAAATCACCTTTTGTAAACTGATACAATTAAGAAGATAATTCTATTACCATAATTAGAGCTGTTCAGTAAATTACTCCATATAAAAACATCTTTTGATTGTACTAATGCAGGTTAGTTAAAGAGCACATAACAGCAGAATTTGCTATCTCACAACACGACTAAGACTAGCAGGACAGACATCTCGCCTCCTGGACACAAACACTGCCAGAGTTGCCATTGAATGGACATCACCAAATGGTAGAAGTGGGGGGTGTGGATTCATCCAAAGAAAACCTAGTGAAATACACTTAAGGAGCTATTTTCAAAAATGGGATACCAACTGGGCTGCAGTGAAAGTGGCTACGAAAGACCAGAGCCAATGGCAGACTTTTGCTGCCCATTGTTCCACATGAGGAGCTAAATTTAAGTAAGTACTGAAAAACCCAATTTCATGCATTTTTGTTGCCAATTAGAATGTTTTACGTCATTCAAACATTCACAGAAAAGTAGTGTACACCTTTTAATCTTCAAACTTTAATGACAATCACAATTGGTGAAAAACATACAACTGATTTACTGATGTAGGTAAGGTATGTTATTGAAAACAAAATAATCTTCCTATTCTTGTTTGAAAATGCTTTTCCATTTTTCTTGAGTGCCACTGTGATGTTGCTCAATAATCACAGTCAACCGTGTAGTCGTACAATTATGTTTCAAGAAATCATCCATGGCATTATGCAATTTTTATATTTTTAATATAAATTAATATTTTTAACTTGGCTGAAAGAGCTAAAATGAAGCAACAGACATACAGAGTTTGAGGTGGCACAGTGGGTAGCTCTGCTGCCTTACAGTGCTAGAGATATGGGTTCAATTCCAGTCTTGGGTGACTGTGTGGAGTTTGCACATTCTCCCTGTGTCTGCGTGTGTATCCTCCAACAGTTCAAAGATATGCAAGTTAGGTAGATTGGCCATGCTAAATTGCCTCTAGTGTTCAGGAGGGATGATGGTGTAAGTTAAGTGGGTTAGCCATGGGAAATGCAGGGATTGGGTTGGGGTATAGGTCTGGGTGGGATGCTCTTCAGAGAATCAGTGTGGACTAGTTGAGCCAAATGGCCTGCTTCCACACTGTTGTGATTCTATTCTATGACATTTTTGCCCAGAAATAGCACATCATGTTGAATAATGTTTCCTTCTTCAGGGTACTTGTCCAATTTGTTTACAATAACAGAATAAGTATTTGCATGATATTTCCTATATTTCACCTGAATCTATGTTCCTAGTTATAAAGGCAAAACACATTTTGGGCAGATGGGTGTAGGGTGAGATTGAAATATACTTCCCATCCTAAGAAATAAAATTTGGCTCCACAGGGTTGGCTATTTCAAAGTGACAAATGTCATTTTACTTCTAAAATGGCATCCCTGACATGTGTACACATGTCTGATGAGGGAACCCAGTTTTTTGAGGGTATTAGTATGCACAAAGGGAGTGCTGACTGGAAATATGCAGGGTAGGCAGATCATGCCATTAATCACTGTATAATGCAGATTCTATGCACTGGCATTTTGAAGATCAGTAGCTAACAACCTCTCTTAACCTTGAACAGCTGTACAGGTTTTCAGCAGCAGAGGAGATGTTCAAGAAATGCTATTTAAAGTAATCATCAATACTTTTAAGTTGAAAAGACTTGGTTCATTGATTTCTACTGGCTTTGTTGGAACTGTACAAGTAGTTAATGGTTTTCCTGTGTTTATAAAGTTCTGTAAAGACAACATGTGCTGAAAGGCTTTGTGTTGATTTCAAGGTTTCTGCAGAAACTACTACTCTTGGGTATCAGTGCATTCCCCTGTACTCCATCATGAAAAGGAAAGAGCAGGACTAATACCAAGCAGGGCAAGTTCGACAAGAATCTCAGTGAGAAACAATGTTTTGGATGCTTATTCTTCACTAAAGATGTCTTCACTGAAATCTATTGAATCTACAACAATGTCACAGCAAGATAAGGATGCATTGACATTGATGCATGAACTTGATAATATGTCTGACTCTTTTGAGCTAAAACTAGTGATATTTGTCAATTTTGTATGACCTTTTCATAATAGAGGCATTAGCTGTGTCCAGACATGAGCCAATTCTGCCATCTCGCTTTTCAGAAATGGTGTAAAAACAAAAGAAAAGACACAGGTATTACTACTGCTACTGAAAGAGAGATGGGGACCTTGTAAATACACATCCTACGAGCAATGTATTCTGGAAACTGACACAATGTGCTGCAGACCACAGGTGATAAGTTAACTATTTACAATGGGTCTGACATCTCCTGCGTTTGCATTATCCATCTTCAATGTCACTGCAGATCCTTGGGATGAACAGCTGAAATCTTGTATATCATTGGTATCACAGAACCTTCTATTATTAGTCTATCAGCATACACAAATCTACATATTAATATGATCTACAAGGTAGCAAACCCATCAATTGCAACACTAAAGATTCCAGACTGAAACATCAATTTCATATACTTTGGTCACAGTTACGTCAGATGATGACCAGCTGCTGCAGATCTAAATGATCATTATCGCTGGGTGGCCTGAATGCATCTAACAGGTCCCAGAACAAACACAACCTGTTTGGCCATTCAGAGACAAACTAGGACTATCCAATAGTGTAATCTTCAGAGGAAAGTAAAGCAAATTCTGCATGTTCTACATCAAGACGCACTAAACCATATACACATAGGTCACATGGCTGTAGAAAAAGAAACAAGAGATTGGCACATTAATCTAATTTTTGGCCTGGTATAAATAAGGACATCAAACAACTCTCCATCCACATCAGATTCTTTCCGAGCTGAGATTGCCACTGATACTTTCATAGCCATGGACAAGATGATTACATACTGGCGAGTACTTCAATAAATTATGAGACCTATCAAAGATACCACTCGCGCGATGACTGTTCACACATTGACTGCCATATTCAGTGTGTTTGGTGTACCTCAAAAAATTGTCTGACAATGGTCCGTAGTACATTAGTGCAACCTTCTAAGACCCAGGCAGAAAATGGGGTGTTCAATGCATTATCTGTTTTAAGAGTTAGAAATGTGGATTCTTTTAAGGCTAAAACAGAACAGCACCAGAGCAGGTCATTTAGCTTTTGAGGGCCTTTGTCGCACTGTGGTAGCATTCCTACTGCATGGTAACAGGCCTGGGTTCAAGTCCCACCTGCTTCATAGGTGTGTAATTACATCTCTGAACGGATAAACAAAACAGCCGAGTTCTTTTTCCGACTCCATTTTAATTTAGTTCCCGCCTTCTTTCTCTACTTTCCCCCATATTTGTTATAGTTACAGATATTTTCTAATCAACCAGTTCAGAGATGCTTTTACATTGTTCCAGACTTTTTAAAAACACCACCAAATCAATGTGTTATTAAGAAAAAGAACAATTAACAAGCACTCCCTGCCAGGCGCAGTGCAGTAGTAGTGTCTCTACTATGAAACAGGAGGGCTGGGGTCAAGTCCCACCTACTGCAGAGATGTGTAATAACATCACTGAACAGGTTGATTTGAAAATGTTTAAAAAAACACAAAAAAGGAAGCTGAATTCTTCCTCTGTAAGTGTTATTATTTGCAAAGGGTGTGAGGAATAAAATGACATAGGTTTTACTGGAGATAAGTATTTCTCAAGACAGGGAAATATTCCAGTTGTGTTTTCAGGTTTCTTCCTTCACAAATTTGTGTACTCATGCCTTTTCCACGTAACCTTTGATTTCTTAACTGATTAAAAAATTTGTCTATGCCAGCCTTGAATTCACTTAACAACTCAGTTTGGAGAACCCTCTAGAGTAAAGAATTCCACAGATTCACTACTGTGAGAGAAGGAATTCCTTCATCTGTTACAGATGAGTTACTTCTTATTCTGAAATTATGCCCTCTGGCCACAGACTCACTCACAAGGGGAAACAACCTTTCCGCATCTACACGGTCAAGGCAAAGAGGGGGTACGAGATAGTTTTAGCAGATAAGGTTAAGGATAATCCAAAGAGATTCTACCAGTACATTCAGAGCAAGAGAGTAACTATGGAGAGAGAGTAGTACCCCTTAAAGATCAAAGGGGGTTGTCTTTGTGTTGAACCTCAGGAAATGAATATTTCTGGTCAGTTTATACTATTGAGAAAGAAATGAGGCTGGAGAACTCAAGGAAATAAACACTGATGTTCTGAAAACAGTTCACATTACAGAAGACGAAGTCCTGGAGGTCTTAGAAAATATAAAGGTCGATAAATCTCCAGCATCTGATGTAGTGTATCCAGGAGGTTATGGGAAGCTTGGATGGAAATTACGGGGTCCCTTGCAGATGTATTTGCATCAACTATGGGTGAGGTGCCAGATGAAACATTGTGCCTTTGTTTAAGAAGGGATGTAAGGAGAAGCTTGGGAACTATAGACCTGTGAGTCTGACTTTGGTGGTGGGTGAGTTGTTGGAGGTGACTCCAAAAGATAGGATTTATATGCATTTGGAAAGGCAAGGATTGATTAGGGATTGTCAGCATGGTTTTATGCGAGGGAAATTATGTCTCACAAACTTGATTGAATTTTTTGAGGAAGTAACCAAGAAGGTTGATGAGGGCAGAGCAATAGACATTGTTTACTTGGAGTTTAGTGAAGCCTTTGGTAAGGTTCCGCATGGTAGATGAATTAGTAAAGTTAGATCACAAGGAATTCCAAGTGAGCTTTCCAATTTGATAC